TGAAAGGCAGTAGAGGTGGACAGTGCCCTGGTTGAATGAGCTGTCAAATGTTCTGGAGGGGATTTTCCCGACAAGTTGTAAGCCAGGGAAATAGTCTGTACAATCCAGCGTGCTATGGATTGAGAGGAGGCCGGGGCCCCTTTGTTTGGGCTGTGAAAGCAAAGAAAGAGTTTATTAGACGTTCTGAAAGTTTTTGTCCTTTTGACATAGAAGGCCAGGGCACGTCTGACATCGAGGTTATGGAGCATATGTTCCAGGGACGAGGAAGGAGACTTGAAGAAGCAAGGTAGTATGATAGGTTGGAGTCGGAGACCACCTTCGGGAGAAAGGAAACGTCAAAGTAAAGAATCACTTTATCGGGATGAAACTGGATAAAGGGGGGATCGGCTCGAAGAGCGGCGAGCTCACTGGCCCGTTTGGCTGACGTGATTGTAACAAGGAAGGCCAACTTAAGGGTCAGGAATCTGAGGTCGATGGACGCCATGGGCTCGAACGGAGGCCACATCAAGGCATTAAGAACCAGCTGCAGTGAGCACTGGGGGGGTTGATACGTTGTTGAGGAGGGCGAATGTTGTTGAGCCCTTTGAGGAACTTCTTGACAGTTGGGTGAGAAAACAACTTGGAAGAAGGAGAATCGTCTGGTTGATAGGCCATAATGGCTGATAGGTAGACCTTTAATGTGGACTGGGAAAGCCATCCTATATACCTGCTATTTATTTTAAAATTGACAGACCAAAGTGTGCAGCCTCTCCCAATAGTTTTCATCCATATACATCTTATGTTCTTGCTTAAGCAAGCAGTTAAATATTTTGATTATATAGCTGTTTACTATTGATTAAAGACTCGATTCGCTCAAATTCAGCAGTTACCATATTTTTCCATCACTTTTCTAACCCAAAATTAAGTAATTTTAACTTAGCTTTGAGTATTCAGCCTCTGGGCTCAGAACGCTTGGACATTACAAGTCCCTGTTGCATCTGAGCCTGCAGGCTCCACCTCCAATGAGGTGTGTTCCAATTGGTTTGTTCAGCATCAGCTGATATCAGTTCCATAAGGCTTGTGATTAGAGGAAGCTAAGCCTCATGATTGAAGGAAGCCTGTTTACAGACAGTTTTTCTCTCTCCTCAGCTTATTTCCATGTACAATATAACACACCCCTCAATTTTCAGTGTAATGATTTTAGAAAAAAGTAGTGTCATACACAGTGTACCTGCTTTTGTGATTTCTATATATCAGGATTTTTTAAATCTTATTTTTCTTTCAGCACCCCTCTGACATTTTATTAAAACTAGAATAATCACCTCTCTCTATCATGTTCAGACGGTATCAGCCAATTTGCTGCAGGTATTAAAATCAAAGGCATAAATCAACTATATGAGTTCACCTATTACAGTTTGGATTTCTTATTAAAGTTGGCTGGATGTCATTGTGTGAACTACCAGTCATGAATTGTGCAATTTTCATGTACATAACTAATTCCAAAGAAGCCTTGGTGCCCTGAAGCTAGAACTAACCACGTAGGATGGAATTTTTCGTAAGAGCATAATTGGGCCTAGCTCCATTCCTATTATAATTAGTAGAAAAATATGATGACTACAGCTCATTGTTACATGAACAATCATTACTCTAAAAGCCACAATTTATAAACATTTTCAGATGTCATATCAGTTTTACTGAGCACAGTTGAAGACAGTTCATTAGGCTGCAACCTTGTTCACCATATGTACATTACACTATTACATCTCTAGATGATTCTTTGCCTTTGTTCCCTGTAATTTTGCTCTATATTAATATCATTACTATAAAACAGCAGGTATTACCGTTTCTCTGAAAATAAGACTTAACCTGAAAATAAGCCCTAGTGCGATTTTTCAGGATGCTCGTAATATAAGCCCTACCCCAAACATAACCCCTAGTTAAGTAAAACCCTGCCCCACCGTTGTGCAGCAACCATAAGATGATGACATCACTGTATTTGAATAAATGTAGATAGTTGTAGATGAAAAAAATAAAACATCCCCTTAAAATAAGCCCTAATGTGTTTTTTGGAGCAAAAACTAATATAAGACCCTGTCTTATTTTCAGGGAAACACAGTATGTAATGTTGTGAAAAAAGAAAAAGCCTCCTCCTATTAATTATCTGAAGTAACAGATATTATGAAGTAACCAACTTAACATCTCCTTTCTGAATTTTTTCACCAATATTATGGTTGTTGGAATTCCATGTCTGATTTTCTGTTTTAGCACCAGCTCGACAAGGAACTGCTTAGATTAAAACTCCAACCTGCATGAGCAGTACCATAGTACCTGGGGGATTCTGGGAATTATGGCACTAAAAAGTAACTTATACAAAACCTGGTCATTGTGCATGTGTGTGTGTCTTAACAACATATTGGATTTAAAGATTTCATCAGCCCAACAGAAATATGCCTTCCACCAGAAAAGGCAAACTTCCAACCCTATGCATTTCCCCTCCTTATGTACACAAGAAACAGATGTTTATCTCATACTTTTAAACATTTAGAAAAAAATTGACACAGAAGGATAGACAAGTAAAATACTAGGTTTGTATCCAAACTACAGACCCTGGGAAGTGAAGAGCAGCAGACAACACTAGACACAAGTGTGTTGCTCTAAGTCCTCCAAGTTCTTCTGATATACAGTGCTAGAACATAGGCTGAGCCATTTGGGCTGCTTGAATCAGCTGCATTAAATCTTTAGTGAGAGGAGGAATTTTTCTATATCAATTGATAAATTATGTTAGTTACACTTGAGACATGGGAAACAAGTCCATCCAATGTTAAAAGAACAGTTACTTATATATAAATCAAGGAAGATGATTTATGGATTCTCAAGTCACAAGTGACAATCTTCAGCATTGCAGGCATATGAAGCTAGGTATGCACTCCAAGAGATAATTTCACTCATTATTAGTGAGGGTTCCAAAAATGAAATAGCTTTACAATTGGCACAATGTGAGTTAAATGCTAGTAAACGCAGAACCACAATTTAAACTTGAAACTCGTACAACACCACACTGTTAGGGATGAAGTTTTCATTAACTCATAATATACAGATTTTTTTACTCTTAAAATGTATCTTTACAAACACACATATATTTATATATTTTATTCCATTTCAGGTCATAAAAAATCCTGAACACATAAACCGTACCTTTTGAACAAGAAAACGGTGTTCTACAGTCCAATGTGAAAGGCTCTTAACAAACAGGTTGCTTTGGTGCTTCTCTGACTTTCTAGCACTTGGAACATCCTGTCTGCAAAGTAGACATTTAGCATGAGGTTCCATTTTACTCTTTCTGAGGTAATCTGGAATCAGTTTTACATAACTGCTTTTTAGAGAAATAAAGCACCTTGAATGTAAGGTTTTCTCCAACAAGAGCTGCAGTTGGAGAGTGGTGTTAAAAAACAATAGAAGGCCACTTGTGGTTCCAACTATATTGTGCTGTCATCTTAAGGAAAAGCAACTGATACATAAAAAGCCTATTCCAACTTATAACCATGAACACCAAAGCCAGTCAAGTCATTTTAAATATTTTGATGTTTCAAATACACACGTCTTTGCAGGAGGGAGGGAGAAAAGGGGATGGCTGTTGCTATTTAAGACTTTTACAAAAGCATCCACATACTTGTCAGTTAAAACACTTTTGAAAATAAGTCTGTATCTTCTTTAACAGTGCTAGTACTCATCCAATTCATGTTCCAGTTCATTATGCCTATATTTCAGGAATTCTTTAGGGAGCAGGAGTCGTAGTTCCACTTAAGTGACACATATAATAAAACCTATTCTCACCAAGAAGGAAAAAAGGAAAAGGGGAAAAAAGCCAGACTATTTTAAGGCACAGTGATTTGGCAAGAAGATCTTCTAATGTTGCTGTTTTACATGATGTCTCCGTGATCACATCATGTGGAAATGCCACTGAGATCAGTGGGAAATTTGTTTCAGATAGAGATTATGGTGTTCATTTATAAATAAATGTAAATGTCCCATTCTGCTACTATGTGAATCAGTGTCCATTTCCAAGTAGGCATAGGAGTCTCCTATGTCAGACATAGGCTCCCAAGGCTGCATGGAATTCAGTGAGGCACTGTACCAACTGCTGAAATTTAGGTCTCTCCTCAGGATCTAGTGCCCAGCAACAAGCCATCACAGCAAACCTGTAAGATAAAAAAGAGCAAAGTTCTGTAAGCATGTTAGAATACTTTCATTTCTCATCTCAATGCAGAACTCATCTCGCCATGGAAAAGGCTCCAATTCCTCCCTGAAATAACAATACTTCAGTAATGGCAATTAAATCACCAAATAGTAAGATTTACCCAGATATATACAGGGATGTTCTCTCTTATCTATTCCCCTTCCACATTCTGCCTGCTAATTTGTGAAGGTGTGGTATTGATATTTACAGGGTCACAAAGAATAGCTGATTAAACATCATTTTGTGTGTTATATAATGTGGCAACCTCCCTCAAAAAATGAAAAAAGAATAAAATGACAATGTTGTGATCCCTTAAAGACTAACTGCTATATTTTAATGTGAGCTTTCTTAGATCAAGTCTACTTCTTCAGACATAACTGAGGACTGTCATATTGACTCTGATATTTATACATGATCCTATGCCCAGGTCAGGATATATAGATAATGAACAAAATAACAATGATTTGTTAGCAATGAAACAGACTATCAGGCTGTGATTAATTTCAGTTATCAATCTATAAAGTCATAATAGCATACTTGACACAAGTGGTTGGGAAAATCAGTGCAGGATTTCACACTTGGTAATGACTTAAGAACCTTTGACTGATATTCAATTTTTTAAACTGGGTTTCTAGAATTTATATATACCTTATCTTAGTTATTTCTCTTATAAGTTCGGTTATGTAGTATTTCCCCCCCCCCAAAAAAGGAGACTCACAGGTCACTCAAAAACTGTTCAGTTATTGACAGAAAGGATTTCTCAGATTACACTCCCTACCCAATATGGCTAAAAATATTTTAAAATCATTTTGTCCAAGGCTTTTGAGTTAAAAGACATTTTATAAGAGAATGTAGATGATGGTCTACCGTCCAGGAATAGGCATATTTGGTTCCAGAATATCTGGACTGTCCTGCACTGCTTTATGATAATAAAATAAAATTTTCTTTATCATATACGAGAAGAGAACTCACAAAACATACATTTACACGTAATCAAGTCACTAGTAGTACAAGTTTTGTACTTCACTTTTCTCAACCACAATCAGGTATAATACAGTGCTCCTATTAAATTACAGGCTTGATCTTCCCATGGGATGCAGAAGTATACTCCAATTGTCTATTAAAGATTCTGACATGCTCTATCCCACTAAAAAGCAAGTTCCATCTTTCCAAAAAACACTATATTTGAATGTAATGTATGGAGATGGACCCCACCCCCCGAATCATTGGTCATCAGTTCCGACAAAGAATTTCTGCATCACACAATGACTGGCTGCAAACATCTATTAGGACACTCGTAATTCTTTTGCACACTGAAATTTTATTTAGTTCTCCCATATTAATTATGGCTATCAGTGAGCATCACCATACAAACCAAATAAACCACCACTTACAATTCATCAGGACAGTTGATAGGCTGAGCTATTCTATATCCATCCTTTAGATAGGCAGCCATCTCAAAGGGGTCAATATCTACATATGGTGTTTGTCCCAAAGTCATCAATTCCCATAAGGTTACGCCAAAAGACCACTGAAAAGAATATTGCACAAAATAACTAAGTAGGTTTAAGAAATGTTTCTTCATTTCAACAGGTATAAAATATATGTAAATAAAACACTTTTTTCAAGAAATATTGTGTATAAAACTTGAAAAAATCCATTGACATCTGTTGCTTAATTTTAAACTCTTGTGGTGTACGATTGCTGAAATGTAAGCAAGTCTGTCAGGCCAGTGACTATATTTAGTCTCTTGTTTTGGAAGGAGATCTATCTGTTCCAAATGTTAATGTTTTGTACGTAAATATGACCTTCATGTCCCACAAAACACATGTATAAATTAAACTACATAAATGTATGTTTAAAACATAATCAGAGATCTATGGTATATACATATTTTATGTTCCACAATCATATCACCAAACTATCTAGTTCAGTGAGCATTATGTTCAAGTTTTTAAATAACAATCTCATTTTATTTAAGCAAATACCAGAATAGTAAGCTTTAGCTTAATACACCCAACTCTTTCTCTTTTCCATTCAATTCTAAAGCAAGTGTTTCCTTTCCACTCCATTCTATTCAGTCCAGTTATGGTTATGGCCTATAAAGCCCTATACTTTGGAATGCCCTCCCTATAGAGATCCGCCTGGCTCCAACACTTTTGGCTTTTCGACGCCAGGCAAAGACCTTTCTCTTTAGCCAGCATTTTAATTAAACAGTATTCTCTAGCTGGCCACATGAGCAGCAGGACTTATTAATATTAATGTTTTAAGAATTGTTTTAATATAGGATATTTTGTATTGTCTTTTTAATGTTTTTAATGTTTTATAAGTTTTAATATTGTTGTACGCCGCCCAGAAGCCACTGGTAATGGTGCGGCTAAAAATACTGTAAATAAATAAATAAATATGGATTGGATCCAGCTCTCTCCCCATATGAGGACCCTATCTCCCCATATAAGCATTCTTGTCTCCCAAGTTCTTCAGAAGCCCTTCTCTCAGTCCTCTTTGCCTGACAGGCATGTTTGACAGCGATGAAAGAGAGGGCGTTCTCTATGCTTGTCCTAGGTTGTGGAATATTATCTCTTGAGAAGATAGGTTACCCTCCCCTTTCCAAAACAGTTAATGAACTGACCCATTCTGCCCCGCCTTTCCACCCAACCAACTGCTAAACAGCTGAGCAGGGAGACTCCTGCCCCCTTGTTGGAGTGGATGGCTGCACAGAAACTGTACCCCCCAATCTCTCCAAGGACTTTCTCCAATCACTGCATGTTTTGCATTTATAACCTTATGTTTCATAAAGAAAAAACATTAAGAGTGACTGAACTGAGACCATTTCAATAAATGTCTGACACCAGACAGTTAAATTATGCCCACATACTAAAACACCAAACTGCCTCTCCTAATCTCTCTTGGCTGGGTTTGGAAATACATTTTGTATACAAATACATTTTGATTTTTTTTTTTTCAGAAAATAAACTCCAGGGAAGATGCTGAGTATATATCCTCCCTCCTGAGAAAATGTGAAAGCTGTGGTGGTTAACTTGAATGGGTTTTGGAAACTCTAGTCCTTCAGAAGCAGAGCATCTGATACCCATTAAAACATTTGGAAAACAAAGAAATCTTATACCCGTCTGAAATTTGGCAGTAACAAAGTAACAAGATTCCAGTTCTCCTAGTCATGTTCAATAGTGCTACTGGGCTAAGAAAAGGAAACTTTTGATCCTAACCCATCAATACTGGGGAATCCACCAAAAAAGGACCATTTTAAAATGTCTTTATTTCTGTGTGAGATTATTTTTCATTTCTGAGATTTGGGCAATGGAATAGCAAGTTAATAATGTTGAAGTTCAATTCTGTTTAGCTATAATGTGTGTTCCAACATAAAAGCTAATTACTATGGTGAAGCTGCTGGACTGTAGGGTAAACATGCAGGAACTGGATCCTTGCTCAAATGTGAAACACAAAAACAAAAGCATCCCCTAAGCAAATCTTCCTTTCAAGTATTGTTAGCCTGAAGTACAGTGGTGCCTTGCTTAGCGACGTTAATTCAGTCCGCAAAAATCGCTGCAGAACGAAAACGTCGCTATGCGATATTAAAAAGCCCATAGAAACACATTGAAACCCCTTCAATGCATTCCTATGGGCTTAAAATGCACTGTTGAGCGAAGATCCTCCACAGCGCCACCATTTTCGGTGCCTCTAAAGCGAGGAATCCGTCCCTAAACACAGCGGGCGGCCATGTTTTTCCCGGCGGCCATTTTGAAACCGCCGATCAGCTGTGCGAAAATGGGGGCTTTGCGATGATCACTTCCTTGCGATCATCGCAAAGCGAAAATACCCCATAGAGAACATCGCAAAACGATCGCTTTTGCGATCACAAAAACAGCGTTGCTAAGCAATTTCGGCGCTAAACGGAGCGATTGCTAAGCGAGGCACCACTGTACCGTGATGAAAACTAAGAAGAGCGGATGCAAATAAACGCTATTATATACAGCGATTTTAACTGTTAAAAACCACCAATGTAATCCAAAGCGCTGTGCTCAATATTTATTGATTTTAACTTACCACATCACTAGCACCAGAAAATTCATTGTTAACTAAGGTTTCAAGAGCCATCCACCGCACCGGCCTATTTTCATTATCTCCAAGGCAATGGTAATCCATGGGAAATAGGTCTCTGGACAGCGCATTGTCTGTAATCTTTACCTGAAGTGCATCATCAATGCTGCATATTAAAATACATACAGAAAACAACTTAGACTGGCAACATTTACAGTTAGTGTTCAAATCATGTTTGGTGTTATCTATACAGCTCTTATGAAATAGGAAAGCCAATTTAGATGTACTATACATAATGCACCTAGCACAAAGCCAATCTATTTGGAATTAAACACACTCAAAAGCTCAACTTCAGGATTTCTAATTTCATTTTATCAACAGTAAATTAACATCTACATTTCCAGATTGCTTAACTGTTGCAATACTCTCTGTTCTGGTACCCTTTGCAAGGATTTATTTCTCTTGCTTCAGAACACCACTTGCTATGTCTGAACAGTGTAATGGGAATGTGACTATAAATACACAATGAGCAGGAGACTTAAAACGAACATTTTTAGCACCATTACTGTGCGTTTGGCCATCTTACACTTCAGTACTTACACACAATTTCTAGCAGCAAGGTCTTTGTGAATGACTTCTCTTCGGGCCAGATAGCTCATTCCACAGGCAATCTGAATAGCCATATGTACAAGATCTTGTTGTGAAATTGCCTGTTGAAAGAGATGAGTATAGTTATACATTTCTCTTAAATTAGGAAGCTGGAACAGAAATTTATAATTTAATAGTTATCTGCTACTTGTTGGAGAACTTAACAATCTTCTATGTTGCCTGGTGCTGGGTTTCAGTAGGAGGAGGGAGTTTTATTTCACAAATTAAAGTGACTGTCTCCTGCCACACACAACTTAGCAAAGTCCCTTTTCCAGGACCTGAGACAAGCCCCTATCTTCCTCTTCCTGTCTGTTTGCTTCTAGTTACTTTATTTTGCTCTCTCTCTCTCTCTCTGACTTTCAACTCTTTCTGCTTCCTGACCTTTAGACCATGCAGTCACATGAATTTCAATTTCTTCCAGCTCCTCCTTTTGATTCTTTTATTCTTCTGTCTGTAACTGAAGAACAACTGTAAGTAAATATGTTTTTCTTTTTTCTACTTAAGCTACTTATACAGTACAATGATTTTTATATACAAAGGATTATTCTGTGTGAACAAGGGGTGATGGATAGAAGCTGGTTTTTAAAGTTATTCTCCTTCATGTTTCTCCTGTGCTGCAATACTTGTATTTCTGTACAGTGGTGCCTCGTATAGCGATGTTAATCGGTACGGCAAAAATCGCCGCTAACCGAAAACATCGCTATGCGATTTAAAAAACCCAATTGAAACGCATTGAAACCCCTTCAATGCGTTACAATGGGGGAAAAGCTTAACTTTAAGTGAAAATCCTCCATACGGCAGCCATTTTCGCTGCCCAGTAAGCGAGGAATCCATCCCAAAAAAGAGCGGGCAGCCATTTTTTTCCGGCAGCCATTTTGGAACCGCCGATCAGCTGTTGGAAAAAAATCGCTATGCAAAAATTGCTAAGCGAAACAGCTTACCAATCATTGCAAAGCTATTTTTTACCATTCCAAACATCGTTATGCGATCGCTTTTGTGATTGCAAAAACCTAATCGCTATCCGGATTTGTCGTTAAACGGGGCGCTAGTTAAGCGAGGCACCACTGTACTTTATACTCTGCTAAAAGGAACTAACTGAATTCCCTCCAAACTTGTCCAAGATGCAAGTCTTTTTAATGGTTCACACAAACACTATACTCCAGCAGAAGTTGTAGTGTCTGTGCCAAATACCAAAAGTTACTCTGAAACCTGGGGTTCTAAACATCTATGGGGACATTTACTATTTCAACAGTACTTCTGCTGCTTTCCCCATTACAAGTTCAGTGAAAATCAAAGCTAGAAATATTATTTAACATAAATCACTACAATTCTTTCAATTTTAACTGCAACTTGGCATAGAAGTCTGATTATATACATAAGGTACATAATTCAACATTTGAAGATGCAGGAGCACTATGTTAGAGAAAGACAGTATCACACTTCCTGTTATAGCCTATGCCCTAGGTTTCTTATGACAGGGCCAGTTTGCATACTGACATACTGTACACTTTACCTGTAAGCTTGCTAGAGAACAGTGTGATCCTGACAATCCAAATCCTGGCGTTTTGTGATCCAGGAAACCCAAAGAAATGCTTGTTATTCAGGTCCTATCTTCAGTACCTTCAGGGGTACTGAAGATAAAACCTGTGGACCTATCGTATGGAATGGACAGCAAACCTATGAAAATAAAATGAAGGGAACAGAGGAAATATTTTCTTTTGTTCAGAAACAGCATGACTGACTGCCTCCTGCTGGAATAAATAACTAAAAAAGTATTTCCTTTGTTTAACATTTCCCATATCAGTTTACCACAACTCTACTATAGAAGTTCTACAAGATGTTCATTCCTCTAAAAATTCACCAGTGTTGAAATGTTGATTTTGATGAAATTCAAGTGATGTAAACTACTTTACATTCCATATTAGCCACTTCTTACCTGAGGATTATTTGCTTCTACTAATTTGCATTGCCGCAAAAACAGCTTGAGATTCCCCCAATTCATGTAAGGCAACAACACCATTGGTTTTTCTCCTTCCTCTATACAAACATGAGAGATAGGGAGAAGATTTCTGAAAGAAATACAGTACTGAGTTATTATTACACCAATACACCTTCAAACAGCAGTCTCATCCTCACACATATAAACATGTGTATCACACAATTATCTCCCAATTATCTTATTTCCGTGACTTAATATTTTTTCTTTATGTGAACTAGTTGAAAGCTGAGCACCAAAAGACTTCAGGATTAGCAAGATATCACAGAATACTGAATCCACCCCAACCAGGTACTTTAGCATGTAGGCTGGTCAGCAAGCTTTCAAAGATTGTTTTGCTTGGAATAAGCCTGCCTTGTTTCTGTGTTAATGTATTAAAGAACTACCCTAAAACTTCCTGTGATAAATGGTAAATAATACTTGTACTGTTTAAGTGGTAATACCCATAGGAAAGCCCAGAATCCCAACATTTTACATTGCATGCAGGCTGGATTCCTCTGTGCTGCCTTTGTGACTGACAGCAGTGATTTTCAGATATTTAAGAGTTCTCAAGCCCAGGAGCTTCTCCAGGACTTAAGGAAGCCTAAGAATGATTGCGGGGTGGGGGGGGGGGGGGGCGCAGGGAAAGGAAGGGATAGGAAACATCTGATTACCCAAATACAGCTGTAGCTGATGATGTCCTTGGACTTGTACAGTGCACTTTTACATTACTGAATATCAACCAGTGAATGTGTAGATAGGAACAGGGCAAAATGAAGCAAAAATAAGGAGCAGAAAGCTATTATTTATGTCAGGCTGGGATGTGGAGAGAAGTAAAACACCACAATAGCCACCAGCCTGTTGTCTGTCTAGAGATGGGTGAAGTTTAAGAAAGAGCAAGAGGGACCTGTCATACATGACCCACCAAATTCTCTAACTCCTATACTGACTATGGAGAAAGGGAAGAAAAAAAAATCTTTCTTATGTCCTATTTTTGTTCCTGGGAGAAACTCCTAGCATAAAAGCATGGATTAACTCTGCTTCTTGCTCACTCAGTAGCTCCTTCACTCAAATGACAGTGTCCCTTTAATATAAAATGGATGTTTGAGTTCTGAGTGCTTTGTGTCACTTTATAACCAGATACTGTATCTTAGAAAAAGATACCCTTGACTCATTTCAGATTGTAGAAAAATACATTCCCATACATAAACTACTCAGAGTTTTCCTAATCTTCTCTAAATATCTTTTCACATTTCTGTTATCCCTCACATGTGATCCTTGGCAGATTACAAAGGCACACACAAATACTGAGCTTGAAAAAGCTGTTTTTGCAAAACAACACAATGGCTGAAATCCAGTAGTATGCTGCAATTACAGAGGTATACAAAATTTGGGGATTTCATAAATCAACTCCTCTGTAAGCTCTATTGATTCAGTGGACCTACAGTACTTCAGTTGTGACTTATTACTGGATTTCAGACAACATTGCCCATACTTAATGAAGATATCTGCCCGCCAACCGTACATCTTAAGACGATAAACCACTCAAGTCCCCCAAAACAAATTGCAAGAACACTAACCTGTGATGAAGGCCTCTGAGTTTACAGCTTTCTGTCAACATCATAGTCACTTGAACTTCTGAGGCCTGATCTAAATAACAAAAGAAGGGGGAAAAGTAGCTTTCTTTTAATGAACATATGTATGGGCACACTCAAAGACTCAGACAAATGAATAAGCTTAAAATCCTCAACTAAGTTACTAAAATAAGCATCCATAAATGTTCATATCCTATTCACTATTAGGGCTGGATCCAGTCTAGGCTAACTGTGTCCCACAGATGTCAATGAGGCTTTATCTGTGTTACGTGAAGGAAATGCCTATGGGATAGCTAATACCCTGGAAGACAGAAACAAATTCTAAATGATCTAGATAGGCTGGAACACTGGACAGAAAGCAACAGAATGAAAATTTAACAAGGATAAGTGAAAAGTACTGCACCTCGGAAAAAGGAACTAAACCTACAGTTACAAGATGGGATATACCTGACTCAGCAATACTACGGTACAAGCAAAAAGGATCTTGGAATCGTTGTAGATCACAAACTGAATGTGAGCCAACAGTGTGATGTGGCTACAAAAAAAGGCAAATGCTGTTTTAGGCTGCATTAACAGACATATACTCTACAAATCCCACAAGGTGCTAGTTCTCCTCTATTTGGCACTAGTTATGCCTTATCTTGAGTACTGTATCCAGTTCTGGACACTACACTTCAAGAAGGATGCCAACAAATAGGAACAAGTTCAGAGGAGGGCAACAGGGATGATCAGGGGGCTAGAAATCAAGCCCTATGAGGAAAGACTAAAAGAACTTGGCATGTTTAGCCTTGAGAAAAGAAGACTGAGGAGAGATATGATAGCACTTTTCAAATACTTGAAAGGCTGTCATACAGAGGAGGGGCAGGATATATTCTCCATCATCACAGAGTGCAGGACACACAACAATGGGCTCAAGTTATAGGAAGCCAGATTTCAGCTGAATATCAGGAAAAACTTCCTGTTAAAGCAGTACAGCAATGGAACCAAGTCCCCCGAGAGGTGGTGAGTCCTCCAACACTGCATTCAAGAGAAATGTAGACAACCACCTGACAGATCTCCTTTGATTTGTATTGCTGCATTGAGAAGGGGTTTGACCTCATGGCATTATGGAACCCTTCCAGACTTACTAGTGTACAATTCTATGAAATTAACTTACCTTTAATAGTTCTTTACATATTAGGCAGCTTAAACTAAACATTAACTAAAGTTCCTTTTACAAGTGAAATTTCTTGGATCCTGATGCACTGTTACTTCAGACATGTGATTAAAAATGCCTGTTCAAAAAACTGTTCAACTGAATAGCTCTCTTGCTGTCACTTCAATGAATTCTTTATGGTTGGGTTATTGACACAGGGATTCTTGGTCACTACTTTAGGGAGTGTAGATCAATGTACAAAATTAACAACATAAGAAACCACAAGCAGAATGTTATACTGGAAATCTGACTAAAATTCTTCTTTAAAAAAAATGTATTTTCCTTTTCACCTTGAGGTGTTTTCCCCCCAAAATAAGATGAGATACAAGTTTTTAAAAAGAAAACAGTAGTTAACTCTCAAAAGTATGTACTAGCATGAGGTATTAACATTTCAAGGATAATCTCACACAGAAACTCTCCAGATCTTGACTGTGCTATGTAAGCATAGCACTTGTGTCTTTGTCATCTGAACTGAAACAAAATTGAATCACAGGGAGGTTTTATGTTCCTATAAGTGAAAAAGACATTTTGCAAGTGATACACCACATCACCTTTTTCTTTTACACATTTTCCTACACTTAGACCTGTATCTAAACCATGAATACCAGACTATTTCACTCTCAATTCCCAAGCTCTCTTAGAAACAAGTTTTCCATTTCAGATATGGGTCAGAGTTCAAGCCATGAGGACATGTGGCTGGGTTAAAAACTCTGAAGTGTTGAATTTACAGCATCATTATATGAAGGGAGAACTATAAAATTACATGGAAAAACTATTAATTGTTCTTATAAAAGCATCAATTAATCTATGTAAAGATTTATAACAGAGACACTGAAAATAAACAGATCCTTGTAGGTCCCATTATTTGGGGTACCATGCAACGTTACACAACAGGTCTACTATAGCTGCAATCACCTACACATGATAAAAGTCAAAGAATTCAGTGTACAAAATTAACTATATAAGAAAACCCAAACTGAATGTTATACTGGAAATCTGGCTAAAACTCTAAAACCATTTCAGAAGAAATAAGATGTGAGTTCTGAGAACATAACTAATTTTACATACACATAATACACTCATGTCAACTAGCTGGATGCTTCCACAGGTGGAATGGAGGAAAGCAATATCCACAAATTCCACCTTCCCCTGAAGAACCTTGAAGAGTGCTCCAAAGGATCAGAATCCCTCTGGAAGCATGCAAAAGTGGCACTAGTAGCTGCAAAAATATGGAATTGCTGTCTCCCCACTTCTTTCCTGCAGTGGGAGCCTTCAATGCATCAGACTCTTTCCCATGAACTAAAGACCAGATGAAATATTACTTAATCACAAGGAATTATGTACCACAATCAGAGGCATGCTTGGTGGGGACATGAAAGGGGAATTTCTCAGCAATTAGTATCAAAGTATGGAACTTGCCTTCAAGGCATTTCCTGTTGTCTTCTGCCAGTAGATCAAGACATATACAGGTTTTTAGAAACTGTCTGGTTGTTAGGAAGGGGCTTTTAACAGGTAAGTGCTGTAGTTTTTAACTTTTTTTTACATTTCTTTTACGTAAACTATGTGCTATGTTCTTGCAGTAAAGAAAGAAAGAAAAAGAAAGAAAGAAAGAAAGAAAGAAAGAAAGAAAGAAAGAAAGAAAGAAAGAAAGAAAGAAAGAAAGAAAGAAAGAAAGTTAGTTGTTATCATTATAGGGGATTGGAATGCTAAAGTAGGGAGTCAAGAGATAAAAGGAACAGCAGATAAGTTTGGCCTTGGAGTTCAAAACAAAGCAGTGCAAAGGCTTATAGAGTTTTGTCAAGAGAACAAGCTGGTCATCACAAACACTCTTTTCCAACAACACAAGAGGTGACTCTACACATGGACATCACCAGATGGGTAATACCAAAATCAGATTGATTATATTCTCCGCAGCCAAAGATGGAGAAGCTCTATACAGCCAGCAAAAACAAAACCTGGAGCTGATTGTCGCTCTGATCATCAGCTTCTTATAGCAAAACTCACGCTTAAACTGAGGAAAGTAGGAAAAACCACTGGGCTAGTCAGGTATAATCTAAATCGAATCCCTTGTGAATACACAGTGGAAGTGAAGAACAGATTTAAGGAACTAGATTTGGTGTACAGAGTGCCTGAAGAATTATGGATGGAGACTCAAAACATTGTATAGGAGGCAGCAACAAAAACCATCTGAAAGAAAAGGAAATGCAAGAAAGCAAAGTGGTTGTCCAGTGAGGCCTTACAAACAGCAGAGAAGAGAAGAGAAACAAAATGCAAGGGAGATAGGGAAAGTTACAGAAAATTGAATGTAGACTTCCAAAGAATAGCAAGGAAAGAGAAGAGGGCCTTCTTAAATGAACCATGCAAAGAAATAGAGGAAATTAATAAAAAGGGAAAAACCAGAGATCTGTTCAAAAAAATTGGAGATATTAAAGGAACCTTTTGTGCAAAGATGGACATGATAAAGGACAAAAAGGGTAGGAACCTCACAGAAGCAGAATACATCAAGAAGAGGTGGCAAGAATACACAGAGGAATTATACCAGAAAGATCTGGATGTCCCAGACAACCCAGACAGCAGTTCTTAACTAGGGCACAACTGATACAGATAATTAATAAAATGATGCAAATATAATTCAAGGATTCAGAATTTTAAGAACGCATTCAACTTTTAAATAAATATATATATAAAATAAATAAATTGAAGACTTCCTCCCAGAACCAGGAGGTTTTCCTTTTCCTTACAGCTCATGAAGCCAACTTCCTTTGCTAGGGACAGAGCAAAGGGCCGGTCTCCTAGGCTGTAAAAAAAAGGAAAGGAAAGGAAAACAAAATGGAAAGGAAAGGAAACGAAAAGAAAAATAATAGGAAAAAGAAAAAGAAATTTTAAAATCCCCCTCCTGTCTCCTCCCGCTTCAGGGAAGAAGCCTTCAATTAAAAAAAAAAAATCATCTAAAAGGGACAATGAATCAGCACTGCCCTAATTAGCTAATTTCAAAACAAAACAACAAAAAGGGAAGCTTTCAATTTGGCTTTTAAAAAGTTTTTCTTTTCTTAATGGTTTTAAGGAGGTTGACTGAGGGTTTGTGCCAAATATTGCACAACATGCTATACAGAATCTCTACCAAAACTAAAATGACTCCATTTAGATTTCCCCAACAGCTGATCGGTGGTTCCAAAATGGCCACCGGATGAAGAAAATGGCCGCCTGCAGCGTTTTCGCGCCCTGCCCTCGCTTACCGAGGCAGCAAAAATGGCGGCTGTATGGGGAATCTTTGCATAGCGGTTAGTTTTTCCCCCACAGGAATGCATTAAACAGGGTTTAATGTGTTCCTATGGGGTTCCCCCCCCCGCATAGTGACAGTTCTGGATAGCGACGATTTATCCGGAATGGATTTTCGTCGCTATGCGGGGCACCACTGTATATGGATGTGGAAGTCAGACATTGAAAGCTGAAAGGGAAAACAAACATTCATTTGAAATATGCTACTAGAGGAGGGCTTTACAGATGCCACACACAAATAAATCAAACCTAAACATTCACTAGAAGTAAAAATGATAGTTATCATGCTTTGGGCATATCATGAGAAGAGATGATTCACTGAAAAAGGCAATAATGCTAGGAAAAGGTGAAGGCAACAGGAAAAGAGTATGACATCACACAGTGTGGATTGACTCCATAAGGGAAGCCACAATCTTTAGTTTGCAAGAGGTGAGCGAGGTTATTAATGACAGGACCATTTGAAGATCATGACTTGATTGCACATACTAACAAAAGATATTGACTATGCTGAGTAAGACTTCATGCAAAACCCTACCTTTCACAGTCTTAACAAACACCTGCTTTTCTTTGGTAGGGTCTTTTTCTTCTATAAGAGTTCCGTGGAATATTCGCCCAAATGTTCCTGAGAATGAAAGCAATAAAGATTAACAGAAATTTGAAGACATTTTTGGTAAGTGAAGAGAAAGTAAAAATAGTCATAGACTCGCCTCTTGTTAACCCTTCAAGAATACTTTGTTGAGATTTCAATCAACCATAGTCTATTTTGCATTTGGATCTCCATCTGATAATCTCTAATTTGGAGAAGAACTGGCAACACAACTTTAAGAAGTTGGATGAAGGCCAATGATGTTCTATTTTCTGGAATATTAGTCACCTTACTCTTATACTCAGTGCAATTTAGTTCAAACTAAAACATTATTGAACTCCTGTTTAATCCAGAACCATAAACAGGAATGAATCAGAAGAGGAAAGACTTCCACTCGTGTATGCTTAACATATGAGCGACAGACTATGGAAACCTGAGTTCCAAAACCATTCGTTAAATATCTCCCTTATTTTGAAAGCCCTAATAGTGTCACTATAAGTCAGTTCCAATTTGACAGTGCATAACGTAAGAAAACTTATGTATAGAGCCTACATGTGAGTAGGGACCTCACCTCTTCAAGTTTATCGCTGCTTACATGAGCAAAAGAATAGGGTGGGGCAGGCCTGGCCTCATTCCTGTAACCATGCTGATAATTCTGGATGACAGAACAGCTGAATAAAGCTTATGTGAAGAGACTGATCAATCATTTTGAAATATATTTGTTAAGTCCAGCCCAATAATACGACAAACTAAAAATGAGGCATAATTTTTTTTCACAGTAGTTTCAGTACACTACTATTTAAGAGTAAGACATGTGGTTAGATTGAAAGACTATGAAGTTTTACAATAGATTTGCATCCTTCAATTACCCATGGGTGTGTTTTACATAGTCAAGGCAGATAAAAATAATTGATTTATAGAAGTTTCATACAGAAATTTAGTAGATATTGCAAATTAATGCACATTGCTGACAACTAAAGTTATATACATAATTATTTAGGGGAAAAGGCAGGATGAATCTTGACTGAAATCAATGCTTCAAATCAGTCACTTGATTTGGGCCATCCTCCACACTTACAATTAAATGAAGCCATCTGAAATATCCACAGAACATGCTAAGAAATATGGTAAATGTAGTGCCTATATGGTACAATACATTCCGAATGGTTTACTAATACCTTCTTGGAGAACATCTTTTAGTGTTATTCTCTCTCTGGAGATTGCTATGTCCTTCACTTTAGCTTTGGCTTCCATCAGGGTTACACTTTTAAGATCATTCTTCTCTATCCGTAAAGTAGGATAACCTGAGGAGCCAGCAGACCCAAACAATACGAAAATAAATATCAAACATAAATACTCTTAACACAGAAACAATAGCATCATTTTCCAGAAATGAAATTATGCTGCAAATTATAGGAAAAGACTAAAACATGGATGAAAGGAAATATATACCACTGTAAGTAGTACTTTATCACAGGATATACTATGAAGTGAGAATTGATCTTTTGGTTAATTAATGAACACGATACATATTTTATATCAATCCTGAGTAGTTAGTGAAAAAGCAGACATACTGCCCTCTACTGGCCTTCAGGAGACACTGCTACAAGAATAGCATTTTCTCCTGTTTAAGAACTATCCTACTTCATTTCTTCCAATCTCAAAAACTAGTAACACCCCAATCAGAACTCGTGTCCCAGAAACACAATCCCAGATAATTCTGTTAGTGTTTTAGCCAGCATAACTGTTGCTTTCTATCATCTACTAAATTCAGTAACTACAGCACTACTACTATAGACTGTGCCTGCCCTTGGTATGATGTCTCAAGTTCCCGTTTAAGGTGGCTTATGAGTGAGCCAAATGAAGGCCAAGCAATGTAATTCCTAATTTGTTAGTTTATAGTAAGAATCTCATAAAATAATATTCCCTGACAACAAACAGTATTATAACACTGACATGTTTTCTGAGGATGGAGGACTACCTGACATAAACTGTGTGAACATAAGGCACCTCAGCTAATTCAGATTAACAAAACAGCAGTATCTGTGCTATAAAAGTCAGGTGGGACACATGGTTGATTCAAATGGCTTTGTTTTCAGGATGGCTAGATAGCTGTTTGTTATGTAGATCTAACATCAATTTTCTAATCAACATCAATTTTAGGCTTCTCACAATCTCAGATGCTTGAACCCCTCACTACTCTGGGATGAACAGCAATAGAAGTTGCCACCCTTTAACCCACGTTTGGGCTTCTCGTAAAACTGTGTTAAACTTCAGTCTCTGTGACAAGCCTCCAACACCTTGCCATATTTCAATCCTGGTAAACCAATAGTGCCAGCAGTGCTAGAATATACTGACTCTTGACAAAACTACTGCATAATTTTCTACAAGAGGCTTCTTTAAAAAAAAAAAAAAGACTGGATTCTACAATAAGTTAACTTAAGGAAGTTCACAGAAAGAAGTTCACTTCAAATGTTTTCCTTTCCCATGGAGCTACCTGAACTTCCCAAAAACCTTCACAAGCTTTCTACAAAATATTCCAACTGCTGTGACAAGGAAGGTCACAAAAATCTTCTACTTAACTTACCTTGGAATTCAAATCCATGAGTTCAACTGCTTAAAATGTGAAATGAAGAGTAATAAAGAATCCTAGTCCTTTCCAGTTCAAGAAAAGCTTGAACAAAAGCCACAGCTTGCTAGTCTCTACAAGGAAGGAGGGGTGATGCTTTCAGTGGGCTAAGGCAACACACAAGAAAACACAGTAAGGCCTCTTTGCCTGCCATCTTACTGCTGTTACATATGAATTGATTTGGCCATGAGTCTGACTGAGATGAGTGAAGAGTTTTATCAACAAAATAGGTATTATGGGCAGGGCTACAAATTCCCTGCAAATGCATGCTTTCCTGAGGAATCAAAAGAGAAATGATGTGCAGGAATATCACCACAGAGGATTAGTGCCTCTCCAAACTTCTCTCCTTAACAGCTTTTTGCCTGCCATTTTTGCTTCTTTTCCCCTGGTATAAAGAATAACTGAAAAGTACTAGGGGGAAATATTAAGAACTCTCCTGCCAATTCTTCCCTCTAAATGTCTGCCCCTTACCATTTTTCTCCATTAGAATTTTCAGGACTGCTATCCCATGTTTAAGGAGCATGGCATAGTTTCTCTCTTCATTAAATATCAAAGATGATAACAAAACGCTTCTCACAATCTCACATGCTTGTCAACATCAGCCTGATCTTTCAGAACAGATACCTGATTAAAATCATGCACCCCCATTAACACTGTAACCAGAGTAACACTTACTAGTAATGGGTGTTGCATTGTTAGGTGTGTCAGCCCTCAAGTACTGTGTTGTTTGAGTTGAAGGCTGTGATAAGCCTTGTGAACTACTGCTATTACTAATGCTGTTTGAGGAAACAAAACAGAAAGAGTATTTATGACCATTTCTGGAAATGTTCTTCATTTATAAATCTACAGTGGGTTGTACTTATTTAGCTCAGTGCCACTTGAAATTGTTTCAGTTTCCACCCCTCCCCCCAAAAACAAACTATGGATAAGGCAGCCATATACAAATTCTTCTGTACAAAAATGTACCACTGTACTTGTTTTTCCCTTTAGTCCATACCTACATTGCAGCATCATATGCAACTACATATTCCTACCATATAAGCAGCCAGTAAATCTGATGTGTGTATGACTGGGAAAACAATAATGAAATATAATAATATTGTTTGGGTACTTTTTCCTACATGCAACTGTTTTCTATGTAGGAAGGAGAGGTCCACGTAATGTGCCACACAACTGGACTATGTCAGCAGCAAATACTAGACAAATCATGTTCCACTCATCTCCAATACAAAGAGAGATCTCTCTCTAAAGAGTGTTCAAGGTGAAATGCTTCTTAAGGTTTCCAGGCAGTTTTTTTTTTAAAAAAAAAGAGAGAGGAAATATCACTTTTCAGCATACTACACTGAATTTAAAGGGACTCTAAATATTTTATTAATTTGTCATGGGGGGATCCTTTCAACTTGAAGAAATTAGTGTGAAGTGTTACCTTATGTTTATTCAAGTATAATTAATTTCTGGGGTCCAACAAGCAGACTGTATAAGAGCAGAAGGTTTTCAAACTTTCTCATGTTCACAGTTTGCAACCATTTGAAACTACTGCATTGCTATACAGTGGTACCTCGATTTAAGAACTTAATCCGTATTGGGACTGCATTCTTAAGTTGAAACATTCTCAAGTCGAAGCACCATTTCCCATAGAAATGCATTGAAAACCATTTAATCCGAATCTGTTGTTTTTTGTTCTTAAGTCGAGGCACTGTTCTTTAGTCGAAGCATTCATTTCCATAGGAACTAATGCAAAGCCGGTTAATCCGTATTTACCACTAGGGGGCAGATTTTTTTAATTTTTTTCTTCTTTTAAGGTGAACTTAGGTCAAAAAAAGGGCAGGAAAGGTTTTTTTCTTCTTTTGGTTCTTAAGTGGAGGCTCCGTTCTTAAGTTGAAGCAACTTTTTGCAAACGGAGCCATTCTTAACTCGAATCATTCTAATGTAGGGACATTCTCAAGTCGAGGTACCACTGTAGTTGTTTCAACTCCAGATTAAAGTGGCAGTGGCAAATAACTAGTGAATAATTCTTCAAACAGGCTTTGCCAGTTCTCCTTCATTCACCTTAGAAGCAATTCAGTGTGCTTCTGGAGTGGAAGGATCAGCTGAAAAGGCCCTGTTGTTTCCCAGTGCGTCCTCACATTCTTTGGGGAGGCCCAAGTGTGTCATCACATTCTTTGGGGAGGATGCTTCTGTATCCTTTTGTCAGTTGACTAAACAAAACACCACAAAGGAGTATTTTAGATATAATGAGAGCCACTCATTTAAAATAGAAATACAGTGGTGACTCGCTTAATGAGCGCACCGTTTAATGACAAATCCGCATAGCGATGAGGTTTTTGCAATCGCAAAAGCGATCGCATAACGATGTTTTCAATGGGTAAACATTGCTTTGCGATGATCGGTAAGCGTTTCGCTTACCGATTATCGCATAACGACATTTTAAAAACAGCTGATCGGCGGCTCCAAAATGGCCGCCGGTTAAACAAAATGGCCACCCGCAGTGTTTTCGTGCCCTTTCCTCGCTTACCAAGCAGTGAATATGGCGGCCGGATGGAGGATTTCCGCATAGCGGTGAATTTTTTCCCCATAGGAATGCATTAAACGTGTTTTAATGCATTCCTATGGGTTTTTCCCCCCGCATAGCGACGAATCCGGATAGCGACAATTTTTTCGGAACGGATTATCGTCGCTATGCGGGGCACCACTGTATTAGGTATCACTAGGTAATGCAAGATACAGTATTTATACTTACTATTTATTGCTAGCTTTATGTAACTCTCTTTAAGTTTAGTATTAAGGTTAGATTAGAAATAATGGTGAGTTGATGATAATGATAATTTAATATCAAATCAATTCTGACTTACAATGAGCCTTGCCAAGGTCTCCTGGTGTAGAGTACAGTGGTACCTCGCTAGACGATGAACCCGCTGTACGACAAATCCGCGGGACGGTGACTTTTTGTGATCGCTATAGCAATCACAAAACAATGTTTCCTATGGGGGATTTTCGTTTTATGACGATTAGGTCTGTGCTTCGCGAACCGTTTGTTCGCAAGACAACAATGTTTTCCGGCTCCGCTATATGGCTGCCCTGTGTTTTCCTGATCCATGCTTCGCAGGGAAGCCATTTTAACAGCTCATCAGCGCTCAGAAAATGGCTTCCCCTATGGGCGATCTTCGCTGGATGACGAGGTAATTTCCCCATTGGAACGCATTAAATGGGTTTCAATGCATTCCAATGGGGAAACTGTTTTCGCTGGGCGATGTTTTCGCTTAACAGTGATTTCAGGGGAACGGATTATCATTGTGGTGTGGGGCACCACTGTACTCAGATGTCTTTCATCATTCCCTTCTTTTGGATACAGTTTACAGACTCCGAACTTGGTCTAAGGCTACACAAGCTGGCTCTGCTGGGAGGCAGAACTGGGCTCCCCTCCCCATCAGTACTCAAACTGGGGAACTGGGCTCCCTCTCCCAATCGGTACTCAAACTATCCGGCCAGCTGAGATTATGGAAGTGAAACAAATATTTTCAGGCAGTTGCAAGGGGCAGGACAAGATGTAAGAATTTCAAGCATTAGTTACTATTCCACTTTGTCTGGGGGATGGTAATGATTGCATTTTAAACCAAAAGTCTTGGATGACACTGTCTTGGAAGCATTAAGAAAACTAAGCTAGATAACTGATCATTAGGTTCCTGATGTCAATGCTGCCAAAATTTATTACACAGATTTTGTGAATTGCATAACAAATATTTCAAACATGAAAATTAGAAAGAAAATGGATGTCTGTGTCTTTTTCTTTACCTGTCTTCCAACTCTATTCTCTTCATACTGTGAAGATGCAAAACAGCTAGTATTATCGCTACCAGGAATATGACTGCGCAGCAAACTCCTACACTGATATAAAACACACGTGTAGAAGTGGTAGGAGCTGCATTTACAGGATCAACTGAAATTGAAGTGTAAAGCATTACTGGAACAAAATGGACATGGCATTGGCCAGTTTTAACTACATTTATATGCAACAGCGAAACAAGTTTATTTTTGTCTCACTCTCTATTATAATTGCTATATGATTTAAATTTAGACAAGGAAACTAGATCCATGGTTTCTTTTTAAAAGCTAAATATGAAACACATAAAAGTTACTAAGAGAAACCTAGAAAAAGAACACACCACAGGATTTAGAAACAAAAACTATATTCATGTTTTGCTTAGTACATCTGATGAGTACTATGGATAGCAGAGTACCTCATCCGCTACAAAGCAACCATTAATGATTTACAAAAATAAAATGAACATATAATTTACAAAGTAACGTTGGCCAAAAGGCCAACAATTTTTGATGAGATCTATATTTCCTACACTGCCCCTGAGCTAGTGTACTATGACAAGAATTTAATTCATTCAATGAAAAAATGCTTTTATGTAACATATAAATCCAGTTTTATTTCCATTTGGTCATATGCAATAACAAATGCAATAGATATACAAATTACTGATGGCAAAATTCATATTAAAGATTGCTGAAATGCATTGGTTCTCAACCTTTCATCTTCAAGATATTTTGGTTGTCAACGAACACAAACCTAGTCCAACTTGGACAATTGTCAAGACTTCTGGGAGTTAAAACCCAAAATATCTGAAGGACCAAAGATTGAGAAGCACTGTTACTATAGCAAAAAGGATACTCAACAAGAATAAGCTATCTTTAGGGCAAAATAGTAGCAACTCACAATATGGTATTCAATAAAAGCCCAACCTTGCAGAAAATTCTCAAGGATAAGCTGTTGACTTGGGTAATGTTATTGCTTAACACCTATTAAGTAACAACAACAAAATCTACTTACTGAAGACCTAATCAGCTTTTTTTAAATAACAGCTGAGTAAGAAAAATATTTCTGATAGATATGAAAATGGAATTACTTACAAAAAATGCTCAACATTCCGTGTTGCCCCTGTATGCAATATGTTAACAGTGGGGTTTGGTTTTTTGTTTTGTTTTGTTTGGAAATTTTCTATGTAAAACATGGAACAATACCTAAAATGAAGCAATTTACTTACAAATAGCTTTGCTGCTATTTTTGTCCAATATTGGAATTTTTATTTCTTGTTCAAGTTCTAAAGAAAAAAGAAACACACTTGAAAAAACATACTTTGCCTGGGTATCTATCATTTTCAGTTCTTTATAAAACATTGTTTATATAATAAGACAATTAATAGGAAACATTTCATGTAAACGTCCTAAAAAACAAGCCAAACACCTTTCAGTCAGGATCTAATCAGGTACTTAAACTAGACTGGACGGCTTCCATGAAAACTAATAACCCCCAGGTTCATGTGCAACTCCCCAAAAGCCTGCTCTAGAAATTCTCCTAGCTTTACAAAGCAGGTTTTAAAGGATAATAGGGGAACTTATGGCCTCTGGCTAGTGCAAGCACCAAATATGACTGTAGCCTTCAAGATACAGGTATGTGGAAAATTCTATATAATCCGGTATTGGTGTATAGCAGCGGTCCCCAACCTTTTTAGCCCCGCAGGCCGGCTGTGGAAGACAGGACACCCCCCTACGCTCGTGTGCCCACATGTGCACAAAAGGCAGTGCAGCACTTGTGTGGGAGTGTGCACGCTTGTGTGCATGCACAAACGGGCTGTGCGGGGGGGAGTGCATGTGGGGGGGAGGTCTCTCTCTGTGGCCCGGTCTGGCTCAGGCCACGGACTGGGACCGGCACCGGGCCACAGACTGGGGGTTGGGGACTTCTGGTCTATAGCATGAGTGGGAAACTGGAAGGCCATCTAGATGATACTGAACATCACACCTCAGAACTAGCTATGCTAGGTAGGGCTGTTGAGTTGCCATCAAACAATACTTACAAGTCTACAAATTGCTTACTTGGCCCATAGAAAAAAGTATTATATCATGCATAAACTCCATGCTTTATAATTGCATGGAAATCAGAAACTTTACATTTGTCTTCAGACATGCAAAAAATTACTTCTGTTCTACAAAGGCAGACCATTTCCTAAACATCTGGTGGTAAGGGCACATAAACTATGCTGCTTTTGAGATTTATATAATCCCAGGAATAACAAATAATGGCCAAACACCTCAGTCATCCACACGGTTCACAAGAAGGCAATATTTAACTTTCTAAAGCAAAGTCTTATAATCACACAGATCAATAAACCAAAGGCTAAATCCAATATTATTCTGGATGTCAAAATGGACCTTTCCCACTCTACTCCCCTTTGCAGGCCCTTGCACTGTCCAAAACTCAGTTTGAGTTGTGTCTCCAAGTTCTCCAGAGCCAGTTGGAGATGTATATATATACAGCTGTAGTGAAGGGAGATTATCCTCTCTCATTTATGCATTTTGTCATTTCACCAGCAGTCTATCAGTGGATCATAACTAAATGCATGTACAACCTAATGTTGTAAATCATACAAGAATCCTGAAGGTCAATATAAGATCCTTCCTCATTATTACAAACAGGGGGAATGGAAAAATAGCTTGCCTAAAGCCACTTAATAAACGGATGGCAGAAAACAGGTACAAAGCAAGAACTTTTCAATTTCAAAGTCTATTGTTCTCCTTCATTCTCTTAATTAAGACAACAATCAGCAAGTTTTGCTACTTTGGTTGTTGTGGGTTTTTCGGGCTCTTTGGCCATGTTCTGAAGGTTGTTCTTCCTAACGTTTTGCCAGTCTCTGTGGCTGGCATCTTCAGAGGACAGCACTCTGTGCTCTGATGTAGTTGGCACGGGAGTGGAGTATGATGCCGGCCACAGAGACTGGCGAAACGTTAGGAAAAACAACCTTCACAACACGGCCAAAGAGCCCGAAAAACCCACAACAACCAAAGTAGCAAAACTTGCTGATTGTTGTCTTAATTAAGAGAATGAAGGAGAACAATAGACTTTGAAATTGAAAAGTTCTTGCTTTGTACCTGTTTTCTGCCATCCGTTTATTAAGTGGCTTTAGGCAAGCTATTTTCCCATTCCCCCTGTTTGTAATAATGAGGAAGGATCTTATATTGACCTTCAGGATTCTTGTATGATTTACAACATTAGGTTGTACATGCATTTAGTTATGATCCACTGATAGACTGCTGGTGAAATGACAAAATGCACAAATGAGAGAGGATAATCTCCCTTCTTCACAACACGGCCAAAGAGCCCGAAAAACCCACAACAACCATTAGATCCCGCCCGTGAAAGCCTTCGCAAATACATTTTGCTACTTTAGCAACTCTTTATTTTATACAACCAATAATAAAAGAACAACTGTAATACTGTATTGACATAAGAAATATTAGCACACTTATTATGTACCAAGCTTCTGTTTTACATCAATTACACTTAATGGCTGAAATCCAGTTGTTTGGCATAGTAACTCACACTAGAGTAGATCCATTGAATCAGTAAGTTGCACTAGAGCAGGCCCTTTGAATCAGTGGGAATTTGGTGAGTTAATTCTTCTGTAAGTTCCAGATTCAAATGGGCCTACTCTAGTGCAACTTACTAGTGTAACTTACTTTAGGGTAGTACATAGCAAGTAAAATGGGCTTCTTTGAATCAATGGCACTTGCAGAAGAGTTAACTCAACAAATTCCCACTGATTCAATGGGCCTACTCTAATACCACTTACTATGTTAAGCAACAGGATTTCAGTCAACAGGTACTATGGTCATCTGTCTTCTTTAATCTGCAATTCCCTTGAGCTTTCTACACATTTTTTGTTACCACATATCTGAAAATCTTTTTGATACAACTTCTGTCTTCCTATCCTTTATTATACTAACTACACACTAACTCAAGAGACCGTCTCAGGAACAAACTAGAATGTGCATTACTTCTGTCAACAGAATGTGGTCATAGCTGCATGCCTCAGCAATCACACTTGCATGTTAAACCAACACCCATCTCCAATAATCAACTGCAAAACACAGCACAATTAATGAAAAATATGGCGTAAAGAAAAGCATTTGCTATGACAAACAAGCATTGTTCATCACTTAAGGAAGCACTATGTCTAAATACATGCTAAGTATTGTAAGTCATCTAATTTAGGTCAGGGGAAAGTGAAGTCTGCAAGCCATATGCAGACCTACAGGACCCCAAATGTGGTCCACCAGATCTCCATTTGCTCATCTGCTTAAAAAGTCACTTTATGTCCTCTGGGAAGCAACTGTGCCATTTTTGTCCCCAGAGCACTCTTGGGCCTCTTCGCCCCAACTTTTAAAAAAATGTTTGGCTATTAGAGATAGGGGTTTTTCAGCTTAAAAAAAGCAAATCCTTTTTTAAATAAAAAAAATGAGAGTGTTTATTTATTTATTTTTTATTAGATTTATACCCTGCCCATCTAGACCAAAGGTCTACTCTGAGCAGCATTACAAATTTTAAAACAGTAAAACCAATAAACATGCAATAAATCCAAGATGGTAAAATGTGAATTTAAGATACAGCAGGAGGGAAAGCCTGCCCAAATAGCCAAGTCTTGAGTTTACTTCTGAAGACACCCAGAGAGGGAGCCAGGCAGATCTCCACGGGCAAGTTGTTCCAGAGGCGAGGGGCCACTGCCGAGAAGGCCCGGTTCCTTGTTCTTTCCTTCTGGACCTCCCTTGGCGTAAGCCCCTCAGCTGCCCGGCCTGGCTGGAACAAGTGACTCTGGGTGTGGTTAGGATATGGCTGTAGCCCTTCAGTGTCCAGAGGATAGCATGTATGATCCCCAGACTTCTAGAGTTTGCCTGCCTATGGAGTAGATCACATGAGTTAAACTCAAGGCCCGCGGGCCGAATCTGGCCCACCGGGCCATTTCATGTGGCCCTCACAGTTGCGCGGGCAGAATCTGGCCCACCGGGCCATTTCATGTGGCCCTCACATTACTGTGCAGCATACAATATGCAGGCGCTTACTCGGTCACCCATACTACTCCATAAAGACGCTGGGAATTCGCGCAGGATGACTTCTAATCCCAGCATTTCAAGCAATGAAGAGTCAGAAAGTGCAGCCGCTTGGATGGCGTACAGCACCTTGGGAAATGTAGTCCGTGCTATTGCCCACTCCCATTGTTACGGCTCCCAGTGAGGACTGTTTGATGGCGTCACCTAGCAGCGGCCATCTCCACCTCATCTCCCGCATCGACTACAAAAGCAAGTGAGGAGCCAGGTGATAATGAGGGCTGAGAGCCATGACAAGTGTGAGGTAATGGTTACTTCTGTGAATAATTAATAAAATAAAACAAACATGGGTGGGGCTATGGAACAGGCATCAACGAGTATTACTAAAACTCACTTTTCAATAAATTGTACAATAGTTGTATACTTGAATATCTGCTTGCCATTATTTCTAGACTTTGATCAGACTTTTACTTTCAGAGCTAGTTATTACTTGTCATTACTAAAATCAATAATAATCAAATTAGGAGGATTATATTTGATATGATAAAGAGTAGAGACATTTATATAGTCTTACATATACAACCAGCCCTTTGATGGCAACCATACTGCCGATGCGGCCCAAGATGAAATTGACACGTCTGGTGTAAATTCATCCTTAGACCCTCTAAGAAAGTCTAAACAGACCTAATATTTGTTTCCAGATATGGAAACTGACTTTTCCAACTTTGGTGGTAACTCCTACAAACTCACTTGTTCTAGACCTTAAGAGCAGTGCTTTGCATGCAAAATAAGAGGAAATGGAGTAAGATGAATCAGGACCCTAATAGAGAGGGATGCTCATGAAAAATACATAAATAAAAATGCCTTACTTTTATAACACATTTTCCTTCGTTTGAAATTTAAGACTGTGATATTTTTGGAAGCATTTACTGTCATGTTGAGCTGCATTAGTACCGTAACCTCGGAATCTAATCTGCCGGTGCAGGAAAGTTCCACTCGAAACACTGCAAGTAGAAAATTCATCATACATACATGTTTTTGAAAGATACATTTAAAAGCATATATTTTAAATTGAGTGTTAATTAAATATTACATGGACAGTTAAATTCCATCTCTTTCCTAGTTCAGCATGTAATTATTTCAGCCACTGTTTGGCTATTACAGGACATTCCATTATACTTGGCTTAATATAAATTATGTTCCAATAGGTTTACACTTAATATTGAATTTCTCCTGTCACTGCATTGCCGAGGCACATGTCAGTTTTTAAAAAGCACCTTCTAAAAATGGTCTGCATACTCTGCCCATGACTATCTTTAAAAGGCTCGCACATTTTTACTCACGCTGTTTGGTACACTGGCTGAAAAACCATTCTAGGAGAACACTAAGAGGTAAGAATTTTTTGGTCTCAGCCAAACTTAATCCTCTCTCCAGTTCAAAGGTTAGGAGGAAATTTGCTGTTTGGCTTTTGTCAAACAAGTTATTTGGCTTTTGTAACACCAGGGTACTATAGAACATCTTACACATGTAGCTCAAAACCAGCCAGTATTTTGCCTCAGCATTTTATGTCCCAGAGAAGGAATCAGAATGGGGGATAGTTCTTTGGTTGGCACTCAAGTGGAAGCACTAAGAGTACTGAGTACTAGCCAAACAGGATAACCTAAGTCGATTTTCTAAGTGAAAAATAGGTGGAAACTTTCTAGCTCCTGAAGTACCACAGTGCCTAGAGCACTCAGGTTGAGTAGGAGCTAGATGGGCAAACTTGGTGCCTTCATTTACACTGGGCAACAGGAGATTTCCTTAGTTCTTCCAAGTAAATGTTAGGCTTAAAGACTAGAGACAAAAAAAAATTGTGGAAGCAGTCTTGAATTTTTGTAGCAACGATGAGGAAACATCATAAACACTTATCAGTAAATTTAGATATAACTGACAACACTTCACCCTTGGATACTTCCAAATCAAAACCACTTGTGATTAAGAGGCTCTTTTCTTCATATGCCATGACACTGACCACTAAATAGATTTTAGACAGTTTTGCCTGCTTCTTTATATCTGGACCCATACACATTCTGCACATCCATGAAGCATATGAAGATTGCAGAATATAACACTGGAAGCACACATTTTCCTGAGTCAGGCATTGGAGAGATTATACAAGGTCAAATACAATTATAACATTATGATCAGGAAGTTTTGCTTGTTGACCAACAGAAACAATGAACTGTAAACAGAGAATACAGCTTTTACTGATGCAGTATTTAATTATATAGTGTACAACACAGAAAGACACTCCCCTGCACATCTCATGTGTGAGCCAGTGCAATTTGACTCTTTTTTATGCTATTAAGATTAGCAACATCTTGCCCCATTACAAAGCTCATGCTGCTAGTGCTCCCCCCTCATTAAAATTAATATCCAAGATACAGAGAAGCAATTTACCTAGTGCTATGATACAGCACTATATACTAGTCTAGTGGAAGATTATTTACCTGATAAAGTGCGAGGGACTTCTCCTTGTTCAGAAATATTTGCCTGTGGCATATCCATAGCCAATAGATTATCAACCTGAAATCCCAGTTTATATTCAACCTGTAATGATATGTAGTAGAAAGCCAAAAAGAAAATAGAATCAGTGAAAGAATATATCTTTACATTGCTTCAGAGCTATTTCTAATTAATGATCAATTATAATTAATGATCAAAAACATTGTTATGTTAAAGTAATCTTAGAATAACAGAATGATCTCAAGACAAACAGAAAGAACACAGAAAGTTGTCCACAGTCTTGATTGGAAATGATTACATATATGCATCCCAGCCATGAAAATATCTGTGGGTGCAGGATCTAATCTTTCTTGCCTTCTGCTTCTGAATTCAATATAACTGTGGGGAAAATCTGCAGCTTCACTCTACGTACAAGCTAGAAATGAAAGCTGGGCTCATGTCTATCCCTACCAGAGAGCAATGGAACACCATGGTGAACAAAGTTTTGGAATGTGTTTAAACATTTTCATCTCCAACTTCAGCACCCTCATCACGCTGTTCAAACACATGAGGAAGCATTTATCTAATGCGCTACACTGCTCCAGTACCATGTATTATTTCCTCCAAGGAGATCAAGGCAGCATACATAAAATCTTCTGCTATTTTACCCTCTAACTGTCATACACTAGTGCAGGCAATACCCAGACACTATTATATTTATGTTCTTACAATGTATGCTCATCTGATAAAGACATTTTTCCAATTCAAAAGTCCCAAGTTTGTTAATATAAACCCAGACTTGTTAGTTTTACTTTTATTGAAAAGAAGCAGCTAAATTTTAAAATTCTAGCATTAAAATGAGAATAAATGTAGCTGGCTTATAGAAGTGATCTACAATAAAATACACTGAAAAATGTTTCAGATATGCATACTGACCACTATATCATCACATACCACATCTGCAAAATTAAACTAGAGCCAAGAGAAAACTCTGGTAACAAATATTAGGCTTAAACACATAACTGCCATTTCCAACATTGCTCTGCTACAGCCTACCAATACATTTCAGAAGGCAGATAACAGACAAGAGAGGATTCGTTCATTATGACTTCTCACAGAAGAACACAACTATGTCAAAAAAACCTGAGGAATCAACATCCTATTGCCATCTTAAACATAACCACAAAAGAACAAAACATCTAGTAATCAATAGAGTCTCACTGAAACTAATAGGAAACAGATTTAGAGCAGAAATCAGTTAAGCAATGGATGGTAACAGCTATAGCGACAATGGCAAACCAGCTGTCATGCTAGTTATAGAACATTTTCCTCCACTGTAGTTGATGTTAGCCACAGTACAGCTTTAGCTCTAGTTGCTCCATCCTAGTTGAAACCCTCCAACAGCATACAGCAAATGTTACTTCTTAAGTCAGTCACATATAAAACCCTTCAGTCTGGGACCAGGTACTTGTCAGAGCACCTTTTCTCAAGGTCACGTGCCCGTTCCACCAGGTCCTCCAATGCTCTTCTGGGTGTCCATTCTGCAGGAGGCCAGCAAATCAACTACAAGGAGCCAGGCTTTCTTCACTGTGGCACCAACTCTCTGGAATCAGCGCCTGGTAGAGCTGCACTTTGTTCCCTCCCTCCTATTGTTCAGAAAGCTTCTAAAGACACTGCTTTACAGACAGGCCTTCCAATGCAACCCTGACTGATTTTTATGACTTGCACACTGCCCTAGATTTGGAATCATGCCTTTTGTTTCATTATCCATTCATTGGTTTTCATTTAATTTCATTATTTTGCTGTAAACCATCCAGAATAATGCTTTGCATTAATGGGGCAGTATACAAATCAAACCAAATCAATCAATCATTAAAATGAAAACTAGATATAACTTACCTTGGCCTTAGCATGCCAACTAAAATGGAGAATGTTTGTCTCTACAGGTATTAACAAATTAAAGGACAAGGCGTAGTGATTGATAAGATCATTCCTCACATAATAGAGTTCTGCATCAATACCTAAAACAAAGAAAGAGGATGGTTAAAAAAAGTACAAAGACTAAAGGATTAAACATTACAGCAGGCCATTTGGAGGAAGGAAAAACAAATATCAGAAGGCATATAAATCAAGTTATGTAGATCAGAGAAGTGGCTGTTGATCAATCAAGTATAAAATGCAACTTCCATCAGGCAACTTAAAATACTGCCATGTCTGAGTCTGTTTCGTCTCCCCCCACCGTCAGTCAGACAGGATGGTGAAATCAAAACTTTAAGAACTGGTCTATTCTTCGGGTTTTTTGTCCCTTCCTTCTCCACATTCCTCTTCCTGTATGATGTTGTAACACCCTGCCTAAGGAGAGAGTAGAGCCCCTAAACTGGCACACAATTTTGTGCCTTAAGAAAACCCAAATGGCCCAATAATGAGATAATTCTGAAATGGAATTAATGAAATTGATACTTCACTCAACATTATACATACCCTAAGTCAGGGGTGGGCAATTAATTTCTATAGAGGGGCCACATGAAAAATCTGAACTGTGTTCAGGGGCCAAACCAACTTTACTTAAAAATAAAATGAAACAGTGATGTTATGATTGTTTTTATTTTAAACTAGTTAATCTTCACAAATACTAAAGAGTTTTTTGCGGTATGTTAAAGATAAGCAACTGATCAACTTTAGACAAAAAGCTATAAATGGTTTTGATGTCTGGCAGGCCAGACAGGGGCGGCTCGCGGGCCGTAAGTGGCCCTCGGGCCACACTTTGCCCAGAAGAGTCAAGACAACAGCTTGAAGGAGGTATCACAAACACACATTTTCCCCTTCAACTATGCAAAGTTGAATTTACACAGTTTGTAATTTTTAATGCTCGAACTCAAACCTAAATTTCATTTTGGCAAATGTTTGAAAAAGCTATTTTCAATAGCCTGTGGTAACCTTGAATCCTTGTCTTATCACTGCAGCTTTTCTGTGTCACTCTGCTCACAGTGTGTGTCACTCTGCTCACACTAAACCCATTTAAAATAAGAATTGTATGTTAGAACAGTACAAGCTCTATCAAAACAAAGGCAAAAGGCGGGAAAGTCCAAGGCAACCAAGTTAACAGGAAAAATACGATAGAAAAATCCAGGTGAACAGTCCGAGGTCGGGGCAATAGATGACAGAGTAGTCAGATGAAAATCTGAGTCAGATAGCCATAATACTCAATAAAAAAAACCCACAAAAAAACAGATAACAGAACAAGCTTGATGCGAGAGGTTCCAAATTGCTTGGCGGAAAAATGGAACTGAGGCGTTGGCGGGTGAAGCATGCGCATTGGGGGCAACCTAAAACTTTGTTACTTTTCTATTCAAAGCTCGAAAGCATGCGCACTGGGGGGCAACCTAAAACTTTGTTACTTTTCTATTCAAAGCTCGAGAAGATTCCGAGAGGTCCAGCGCAGGTGCTGAGTTAACCCTTTTGTGTGTATTCAGAGGCCACGATGAAGAATCAAAGCTCTTGACTAATGATTTATTCAGTTTTATTCAGACCTATGTCTCAGAGAGGAAACTGGCCTAACATCCTCATGACACTTCCAAGAGGGAATCCAGGCATAACCCCTGCCACAATTCTAACATTTCAATTCCACAAACACCTTTCTGACATGAGTTTTCCTCCACAATTTTCTCTTCTCCATAGGCTGCCACTACTCATCTCACACACTTCTTTGTTGGCTGGAAATAATAGAAAACTGGAAATTGAACTTGAAATTAAACTCTTCAGCTTCATTCTAACCTACCATCCTACACACATCTAAACCCACTACTAATTCAAAAGGAATGACAATGGTTGACAATAAATGGTCTTGTTTCCTAGCTCTCAATTCTCAGTTCAAAACTGTGTGTGGAATATGATAACGGATGTCACAGACTACAACAGAAAAGTGCCAATATGGTAGCAGTTATCTCTGACAGCCCTGCTTAAAAGAAATCGATTCCTGCACCATTGCTTGGGTGGGGACAGCAGAACTTAAATTGCAATATAGAACATTTATGCTGCACTTCTGAATTCTCAAAAGCTTGTGACTATAATTTTTAGGTTTTAAATTACCTTCTTCTTTAAGTAACTTATTAGAAGTATTTATTGATGGCTTTCCTGCTCCTCCAGAACCCCATAACAAAGCATCATATACTGCATTTAAACAAAGCACTTTTTTTGAACAAAATTAAAAACCTTTTGTAAAAGCCAATTTTAAACTCCAAAGACTTGACTGCATTCTAAAAGTTTTGACCATGTATCTCAACAACCATCTTACTTGAACATGGATATTATGGACCTTTGAAAAATTGTACCAAGTTTAATCTGCATAGTTTCTTCCTGTTAGTGTACCCTTCATGGTTATTGGAAATGGCTTGTGTTGACATTGTTTACTAAAGCTGAAAAGAAAAAAAGGATACACCCAGCTCTTGGGAAGGAATTCTACAACTGAAGTCCTGCTACTGTAAAATCCTATCTTGTGTACTCATTAATCCTGGGACATGAAATAGGACCTCTGTCAAATATCTCAAATTCTGCGTAGGCTCATATAAGAGGAAGTAACTGTTCGGCAATTATAGCTCAAGCCATTTAGGTTTTTACAGATCAAACAAATTTGGTAACTTTTACAACTCTTCAGCAATAGTAACTATGGTTGGGGCTGAGGTTGAGAGGGCTTGGTTGAGACTTTCTAATGACTTCATGGCAGAGACAAGATTCAAACTAAGGAATTTCTGATTGTAGTTTTAGAAGAGGTAGCCATATTGGTCTGTGCTTGCGTGTCAGATTAAAAAAATATAAAAATAAAGACAAAGGTGATGAGGCACCTCAAAGACTGTATTTTAATGTAATATTTTAATGCTATCTTTTTTGTATTTTTTTAAAAATCCATTTTCAATAGGGATAGGATTGGAGCTGGGGGGCTAGGGGAATGAACATGGGTAGGGGAAAGATAAAATTCCAGAGAGCAAGAGAATAATTTTATATCCACTTCTACTAGAATAATCCAATTATAATCCAAAAATAATCCAAAATTATAATCCAAAAATAATTCAATTCTACTAGAATAAAAAGATAACCAAAAAGAACAATTTAACAGGTTTTTCCAGAATTATCAAATGTTTCATTTCTTTATCTATAATCTCAGACATAATATTCAATTAACACAATTCCAGTTTAAGTAATAACACACTAAATACAAAAAACAATTTTTTTTACATTTCATATACTGAACTCCAATAATCTTCTGCTTCCCTACCTATCCACCCAACATGGCTGAAAGTACCCTCTGTATTTTAGATTTCCAAAACTTATTTTTAAAAAATTCATCAGGCGGATCTTGATTTTCATACTATGCGTCTTGAAAGCAGATAGAGAGGTTACTTACCTGTAACCATGGTTCTTCAAGTGGATACTTCCTGTGATGATGGTGTATGGTGATGTGGAAGTATGCGTCCTTCAGGTCTATAACCAAAAACCAATCTCCCTTTCTCAACAGGTGGACGATGGACTCCAGGGTGACCATCCAGAACCGGCGTGCTGAAGGTAAGTGTTGAGGTCCCTGAGGTCTAGTATAGGTCTGAGACCCCCATCCTTTTTTGGAACTGTGAAGTACCGGGAGCAAACCCCCCCGAGAATGTCTTGACGAGGGACCCGTTGTATTGCATTCTTTTGGAGTACAGTAGAGTGAGAACCTCCTCCTCCAGGGTGGGATTGGATGTTGTCATTCACAGATACCCTAGAGGAGGGAGTTCTACCAACTCTAGCCGGCAGCCGAATTTGATGATGTTCAGAACCCAATTGTCCTTTGATATCCTTTGCCAATTGTGGTAAAATGGGGCAAGCCATGTGTGATGGTCCTGAAACAGAGGGTTGATGCAGTCAAAGGTACTGCTTGGATTTTTTGTTGGGTGGACGATAAGATTGACGCTTATGTGATGTTTGCTGTTTGTAAGGTGGAGTGGTAGAAGACTGCTGAGAAGATCTACCTTGAGAACTCCTGTAAGGCCTATACCCCTGAGAAGCCTGTTGCTGATATTGCTGCTGGGGAAATTGCCTTTGCCATTGTTGTTTTTGGAAACGAGGCTGTTGGTGAATGGTGTAAGATTTAGCAGTTTTCTTACTTTCATGTATGGACTTGAGAGACTCATCAGTCTTTTCATTAAATAAACCTTTTGTGTCGAAAGCCTGTCCTTAGATCTGCTTTTTCACATCCTCAAGAAATCTATAACAACTTTAGGCAGGAAAGAAACATCTGGAAACAACATAACTTTGTCCTTATAGAATTGCAGGTAAGGAGGATCAGACCTTAGGGCTGCCAACACACTTGCTCTTCTAGCAGACATAACTGCAACTAGAAACAGAGTCTTTAAGGAAAGAAACTTAACATCACAGGAAGCCATGGGCTCAAAGGGATGTTTCCTGAGAGATTGTAGGACCAATGTAAGGGACCACTGAGGTACTGGAGGCCTTGTAGGAGAGTGAATGTTGACTAGTCCTTTTAAGAATGCCTTCAATGTAGGATGAGAAAAGAGACGTGAAGATTCTGAGTCCCTAGGTTGGAAAGAGACTATTGCAGAAATGTACACCTTGAGGGTCGACAAGGTAAGGCCGAGATCAAAAAGATGTTTGAGATAAAGGAGCAGAGTCTGTAGGGAGACTGGAGAAGTCTGGAGGTTTCTGGCAGTGGCAAAACGAAGAAAATTATTCCACTTATATTTGTATAAGAGGATAGTAGATGGTTTTTTGGACTTGTCTAACACCTCTTTGATTTCAGGCAGATCCTCCATGCAGCCAGGTGGATGGAGTCCAACTCCGGGTGTAGAACATTCCCCGAATCCTGCGTCAGTAGATGTGGCACAAGTGGAAGTCTGAATACCTCGGTGGCCAACTCCTCCAGAGTAGAAAACCATGGTTGACGTGGCCAGTATGGTGATATGAGAACTGTTGACGACCTTTGCTGTCTGATCCTGACTAAAGATCTTTGGATCACAGGGATCGGTGGAAA